AATCAAAATTTTCCTAACCTTAACTCTAATACTATACCTAACTCCTAACCGTAACCTTAATTCTAATTGTAACCCTAACCCTAAACCTAATCACAAAGCCTAAAATATAATTTTTCCTCATGTGGACTGGCATAATGTCCCCACTTGTCTGAATTTTCCTTGTTTTACTATCCTTGTGAGGACTTCTGGTACCCACAAGGATAGTTAAAGAAAAACACACACCCACAAACACAGACAGACACTAATCAAGCTGTTCATGGCCACTTTTAGTAATTGTGTGCCTGACATTTAGTAAGAAATGCATTGACTGAGGATGCTCTCCCTTGGAGTAATGTAGTTACTCCCATTTTAACCAGAATCAATTATTTCTAGAGACTTGTATTGGAACGTTGAGGAGGATGCACTGTGCTCTTTTCACATCAGGATTTTTGAGTATTCCAGAATTCTAGGGTATATATTGAACCTCCATTGCTGTACAAAATGCAAGCATACGGTACTAGCCTCCAGATCATGTTACGTGATTCAGCAGAAAGGAGGTCAGATGAAGACATCCATCCACTGTATCTCTATAGGACAGGGTGCTCCATCCAAGCAGTAAATTCATTGCATTTATCAGGGTCGTTCCACCAAATGAGTACCTTTAGTATCCCTTTGATATTTTAAGTAAAATTGTGCACTAATATTAAAGCCTGTTATATTAAAAAGTGCCCTTTACTATAGACCACATGGAACATAAAATAAATCTGACTTGCCAAAATTCTGCATTTTGGCATGTCCCTCTGTGCACCCTCTGACTTCTAGGAAGATTTAACCATCATTGTAAAACTCTTGTTATTTTGTTGCTTTGGCAGTCATTTCTGAAGATTATGTTTTTTGTGATTCATCTAATCATACGAAATGTTCCTCATTTTCTTGTTATGTGAACTGAACTCTCATTTTAATATGGTGAAACTATTCCTTAACTATTTTTTTCAAAAGAAACATTGAACATGTAATAGGCTAATCATAATGTAAAAACAGATGAGCTGGTTCTACACTTTTTGGACATTTTCTGGTGTTTTGTGGTGGAAAACTGAGCAGGTCGATCATGACATATCAACCCTGTAACCCATAGATAGACGGGCTAAAAATGTTTTAAAGGGATGCTGCAAGATTCTGGTATCTAAGCAGTTTTTCTACTTACCCACAGTTAGATGAACTTGTGGATACCATTTGTCTCTGCTTGCAGTTTGAAGGAAGTTAGAGGTAGTTTCGCAAATGGAAGTCTACAGGTACAGTAGCATGCGCTAACTTCCTTCATACCGCGCACAGAAATATAAACATCCATGGTTTCCACGAGTTCATCCGACTCTGGGTAAGTAGAAAAACAGCTTAATTGCCAGAGTCTCGCAGTATCCCTTTAACATATTTTTTTTGGTGAAGTTTGCATTCAATTGCCCCTTCCTGTTGCACACAGCAAGCCTCCATTCCCCCTGTCAAAATAGGGTTTAAGGCTAATTTAGAGGCCCAATGCAGCCGTTTTTATCTCAATATCAAATAATTTCTGGGTAACAATTAAGTACCTAACTGATTGTTTTCGAGTAAAATGGTCAAAAAGAAACATGCATATCTTCTTAGCAAAGCGCAATTTCTCAAGCAATAATCTTTCTAGGACTGTCTGGGAGTGGTCTAAGTGGGGAGGGGAAAACTGAAAACTAGCTGTTATTGGCAGAGATGTTTGGAACTATTAACTAATTAATCGCCTGGTGATGTCACCAGGAATGCTAAAACTCCATCCCACCAAAACAGGTTTACATTTCAGGCAGTCTTTTCAAGCAGCTCTTACACTAAAAGGGCATCATTGTCACAATTTCACAGTATTATTCAACCACATAGTGTGGAAATGTACACTGCTCAAAAAAATAAAGGGAACACTTAAACAACACAATGTAACTCCAAGTCAATCACACTTCTGTGAAATCAAACTGTCCACTTAGGAAGCAACACTGATTGACAATACATTTCACATGCTGTTGTGCAAATGGAATAGACAACAGGTGGAAATTATAGGCAATTAGCAAGACACCCCCAATAAAGGACTGGTTTTGCAGGTGGAGACCACAGACCACTTCTCAGTTCCTATGCTTCCTGGCTGATGTTTTGGTCACTTTTGAATGCTGGCGGTGCTTTCATTCTAGTGGTATCGTGAGACGGAGTCTACAACCCACACAAGTGGCTCAGGTAGTGCAGCTCATCCAGGATGGCACATCAATGTGAGCTGTGGCAAGAAGGTTTGCTGTGTCTGTCAGCGTAGTGTCCAGAGCATGGAGGCGCTACCAGGAGACAGGCCAGTACATCAGGAGACGTGGAGGAGGCCGTAGGAGGGCAACAACCCAGCAGCAGGACTGCTACCTCCGCCTTTGTGCAAGGAGGAGCAGGAGGAGCACTGCCAGAGCCCTGCAAAATGACCTCCAGCAGGCCACAAATGTGCATGTGTCTGCTCAAACGGTCAGAAACAGACTCCATGAGGGTGGTATGAAGGCCCGACGTCCACAGGTGGGGGTTGTGCTTACAGCCCAACACCGTGCAGGACGTTTGGCATTTGCCAGAGAACACCAAGATTGGCAAATTCGCCACTGGCGCCCTGTGCTCTTCACAGATGAAAGCAGGTTCACACTGAGCACATGACAGACGTGACATAGTCTGGAGACGCCGTGGAGAACGTTCTGCTGCCTGCAACATCCTCCAGCATGACCGGTTTGGCGGTGGGTCAGTCATGGTGTGGGGTGGCATTTCTTTGGTGATGAAATCGCCGACCCTGTTACGGTCAACCCTGTTTCTTTGTTTGGCACGTAATAGATACTTACTATAGTCATTTTCTTTATTTAACCTCCTGAGATGGGAAAACAACAGCATGTTTTTTATTAAGTTGAACATGCTCTTTATAACAGAATGTTGATGAAATTACACTACCCAAAAGGTACTCATTTGGTGGAATGACCCATCAATCCTTTGATTTAAGAAGATGAGTAGAATCGTCAATAGGCTATCTTGACTCCTTGGAACAGAAAGCTAGGCCTATTGCTTATGGAGGATTGACTGGCCCTGTCATGTCTTTATGCAAACATTGCCTGTTATGCGTTTATGACATGTTTTGTGTTATGAGAACACCTCACTCAGGCCTCATTGACCAAAGGGAGGGACACTGACATATACCATCTGAATGGCAAGAAAAATCCTTTATTGAATGGAGGCCAGCCTGAAAAAATTAAACACGTCTCGTTTGACTGGTTTTAAAATGTCATACGATTTAATCCTAATCCTCACTGCACACAGGAGAACATCTGCGGGAGGGGGAACGTCAGGGTCTTTGCTTTCTCTCTCTCTCCCTCTCTCTGTGTGTCACCGCACCCCCTCTTGGCCCCGGGCAGCCCAGAATCCCATTATCTGAGCACTGTAACAGCTCCAGACGCCAAAATCTCTAAATAATTATTAGAGTTGGCCCAGCATACCAGGTGTACTGTCTAGACACAGAGAATGTCCATTACAATAAGGACCCATCACAAAGTACCGTCTGTGAACTCATATCCATATTGTATTGACATGTTGGTGTTTACCCAGTGAGTATGTTGATGCAGTCGTAATGATCTGATAGCCGCTGTCTAGAGCTGGGATAATAAACCGAAATGTTTTGACGCCAACCACTTATCGTGGACATTTTGCTGTTATCGTTCATTATGATAAATAACCTATAGGGCCGTACTAGAGAAATGTGAAGTTTGAAATTAAATAAGTTTGCTAATATGGGTGATTGTTATGAACTTAACGTTCAATTTAGCGTTATCGAGAGAAATCAATAAATATTTTCGTGAAATAGATTTTTTTCCATATCGCCCAGCTGTACCTCTGCCACGTGTCAGCTGTGCCCACGGTTGTGGAGCTCCTCAGGGATGAGTTCTACATCCGCTCATGTCTTGATTTATACTGGGGCTCACCGCTGTATGACCACTGGACTGTCTAGAGCCACCATTTGAGAGGGAGGGAGGCGGAACGGCGGAGGTGATGATGCTGCACAGAGCTGTGTGCATCCCTATTAGTGTGAGGAGCCAAAGGGCTTTGGTTTAAGTCAGCTTGTCTATCTGCCTTCATGTCTGTCCATCAAGGTTTTTTTTCTGCATAGAAAAGTCTTGAAAAGCCACCTAAATGTTTTTTAAGTAAAAAAATAAAGTGGAAAACGTTTTCAGTAGAAACTTAAAACAGCTAAAAACAGATGTTTTTAAATAAGATCATTTTTGAGAACTAACAATCATCAAAATAAAAGCTAGACAGTCAGGAAAAATCTAAAATTACGAAAAAGATGCATGCATTCATGCATTTTTGTCATGTCATGGGTCTCCCATTGATTTTTTTAATTACTTAAAAATCATACAATGTGATTTTCTGGATTTTTGTTTTAGATTCCGTCTCTCACAGTTGAAGTGTACCTATGATAAAAATTACAGACCTCTACATGCTTTGTAAGTAGGAAAACCTGCAAAATCGGCAGTGTATCAAATACTTGTTCTCCCCACTGTATATATATATTTTTTTTTTCAAAAGCTTGTCAGTCGGCGATCGTGCACGATACCACACCCCCGCCACGCCTCCTACCTAAGCCCCATTTTGATCCAGAAACAACCCTGCTGTCTGTCTACCTTTCTTGCTGTTTTAATAACATTACTAAAACACAGTGATTTTAGGCTACTTGTTTTGAGACACATTTTTAGTCAGAAATTCACAAAATGATGGATTGTGGATTTAATGTAGCCTACATGTCTTCTCGTATACCGTTTTACTGTGTGATATGACTTGTGGGTTGCTCTATACTGTATGGCCCAAGGTAGCTGTGGTCAAATCTAACATCCAGCCCTAGTGTGTGATTAAAAAACTTAGAATAGCATAGGCTACCTTAGACCTAGGAGTAAACTGACAGGTCAGGACGAGTGCTCATTCAACTTTGCCCTTTTCCTCCTCTCCCAGCAGATAACCTGAGCGAAGCGTTGAAGAAGCTGAAGCTAGCCTCAGTGGACAGCGCCACAGACAATGTGGAGGGCTGCCTGGACTGCTTGCTCAAAGCACTGGCCCACAACAGTAAGTTTGACCCACACTCCTCAGAGTAAGTGAAATACACGGTATGGAGGAAATGGAGAGCATAGTTAAAGACTAATTGGAGAACAAAAAACATTCTAGTCACCAGGCTCACATTTGTTTACGTACAAGGCCTAAGTAAGAGAGAATAAATCCTATCTCAGCCAGCGTTATTCACAAACCTGTCTGTCCTCCTTAGTTTGGGAAACAACCAATACGGCTGGGAATTGCCAGTGACCTCACGATACAATATTATCACAATACTTTGGTGTTGATTCTATATGTATTGCGATTCTCACGATTCTATACAGTGGGGAAAAAAGTATTTAGTCAGCCACCAATTGTGCAAGTTCTCCCACTTAAAAAGATGAGAGAGGCCTGTAATTTTCATCATAGGTACACGTCAACTATGGCAGACAAATTGAGGAGAAAAAAATCCAGAAAATCACATTGTAGGATTTTTTAATGAATTTATTTGCAAATTATGGTGGAAAATAAGTATTTGGTCACCTACAAACAAGCAAGATTTCTGGCTCTCACAGACCTGTAACTTCTTCTTTAAGAGGCTCCTCTGTCCTCCACTCGTTACCTGTATTAATGGCACCTGTTTGAACTTGTTATCAGTATAAAAGACACCTGTCCACAACCTCAAAACAGTCACACTCCAAACTCCACTATGGCCAAGACCAAAGAGCTGTCAAAGGACACCAGAAACAAAATTGTAGACCTGCACCAGGCTGGGAAGACTGAATCTGCAATAGGTAAGCAGCTTGGTTTGAAGAAATCAACAGTGGGAGCAATTATTAGGAAATGGAAGACATACAAGACCACTGATAATCTCCCTCGATCTGGGGCTCCACGCAAGATCTCACCCCGTGGGGTCAAAATAATCACAAGAACGGTGAGCAAAAATCCCAGAACCACACGGGGGGACCTAGTGAATGACCTGCAGAGAGCTGGGACCAAAGTAACAAAGCCTACCATCAGTAACACACTACGCCGCCAGGGACTCAAATCCTGCAGTGCCAGATGTGTCCCCCTGCTTAAGCCAGTACATGTCCAGGCCCGTCTGAAGTTTGCTAGAGTGCATTTGGATGATCCAGAAGAGGATTGGGAGAATGTCATATGGTCAGATGAAACCAAAATAGAACTTTTTGGTAAAAACTCAACTTGTCGTGTTTGGAGGACAAAGAATGCTGAGTTACATCCAAATAACACCATACCTACTGTGAAGCATGGGGGTGGAAACATCATGCTTTGGGGCTGTTTTTCTGCAAAGGGACCAGGACGACTGATCCGTGTAAAGGAAAGAATGAATGGGGCCATGTATCGTGAGATTTTGAGTGAAAACCTCCTTCCATCAGCAAGGGCATTGAAGATGAAACGTGGCTGGGTCTTTCAGCATGACAATGATCCCAAACACACCGCCCGGGCAATGAAGGAGTGGCTTCGTAAGAAGCATTTCATGGTCCTGGAGTGGCCTAGCCAGTCTCCAGATCTCAACCCCATAGAAAATCTTTGGAGGGAGTTGAAAGTCCGTGTTGCCCAGCGACAGCCCCAAAACATCACTGCTCTAGAGGAGATCTGCATGGAGGAATGGGCCAAAATACCAGCAACAGTGTGTGAAAACCTTGTGAAGACTTACAGAAAATGTTTGACCTGTGTCATTGCCAACAAAGGGTATATAACAAAGTATTGAGAAACTTTTGTTATTGACCAAATACTTATTTTCCACCATAATTTGCAAATAAATTCATTAAAAATCCTACAATGTGATTTTCTTGATTTTTTTCCCCTCATTTTGTCTGTCATAGTTGACGTGTACCTATGATGAAAATTACAGGCCTCTCATCTTTTTAAGTGGGAGAACTTGCACAATTGGTGGCTGACTAAATACTTTTTTTCCCCACTGTATGTATTGCGATTCGATGTTCCAAACAGATTGCTCACCATATGTCTGCTGCAGACTGACAAGGGAGAGCCATGAGAAAACAAGTTTTGATCAGTCATGGAAATAAAAGTGCTGAAAACAAATTGGCTCCCTATTTAAAAAGATGATGGAGAATAAGCTATGAAGGAAAAATACTGGAGTTTTGGTGCAGGTACAGACAACTAGCGCAATAATAATTTTGCAATATTGTCATAACGATACAATATATCGTCAGAAATAATATCCCGATATGTAACTGTATCGATCCCCCCCATCACTAATAACCATCTGCATGATCTGGCTCGGCCTAGCCAGTATCTTGTTGGGGCATTTTAATGCTTTTAAGTTAATTGAGTTGCTGGCTTTCTGCATCCTCTGCTGTCTTTTAGCTTTGTGTGCTCTGGTGTAGCTAGGTTTAATGTTCTACTGTACTTGGCAGCACAACCCCCCCCCCCACCCCCACCCTGTCTCTCTTTTGGCACTGACAAGTGATGAACCTGCAGTGGTCTGTTTGGTTGAGGAGATGACCAAGAAAACCGAAGGGCCCACACTTTTGCCGATGCCACCTTTAGCCTAACAGTAAAAATCATAGTGATGGTAATAATTATTTAATTGGTTATCCCTGTAGGTCTAAGCGCTTAGATCGCAATATCTACAAAGCTAAGATATGGAATTGTTTTAAGATGGTCATAAAATGTATTATTTAAGCTAGCTATTTGATTTAGAATTTTAGGATTATGTTTTTTTAATGAAACATTGAATTTGGCCTTTACTGCTATAGCCCATAGAAACGGATTGAATAACACATTTGTACATGGCAAAAGAGTCAAAAAATATATCATAATGAATATGGTTTTTAAGTGCCTATCCTATATCTGAGAGATATAAGAAAACTCAGACATTTTTAGACCCATGTTTGGTCACTTTATTTGTGGCACTTTTTACCCCCTATGCACATTGTGCTATTTTTACAGCCTGGTACCAGGTTACCTTCAGACGACTCCCCTTAAGCTTGTGTGCGTCGTAGAGCAAAACAACTGACACCTTCGTGTTTGTGTGAGTCTCCCCTTTTGTAGCTCAAACGGTCTTGGTTTTAAAGACGATTTCCTTGTCTGGAGCCTCTTGTGTAGAAAAACACAGCTTTTAGAAGCACCATGTTATGGAATAGGCGCACAATTTATAACGGCGGAAAGAGGGGATTGAGCTGCAGCCACTACAAGAAACGGTAAGTCTCTAGCATAAACACACAGGGAGCTATTCAATATTCAAAATGATGTCACCGTGTGACGCACAGGTGTGTCAATTGACTCTAAGGGGTTAATAATTATAATTTCACGGCTGGACTGTCATCCTGCTAGTAATTTGATTTATATGGGCCGCTGTCTGGAGCTTGGCTTGGGATGATCATAAATAACCCCACAAATTGAATGGCCTGGATGGGAACGGATTATCCGCCTCTCCTTGCCCCCCCATGGCTCTTTCTCAATTAATCCTTCCTCGATTCCCTACATTCTTTCTACTTTCCTCCTTCTCAAAAAGCATTCGAGAAGAAGGTCAGATGGGAGATACCTTGGATCTTCTCCTCCAATATGGTTGAGAAGGAGGCAAGGGGATAGGATGCAAGGAATCATGGAAAGACTAATTGAGATAGAGCCCATGTCTATTTTCAACTGTTCACCTCCTCTCTCTCCTTTCTCCTCTCTTCCTCTTAGATGCTGATGCCAGTGAGAAGATCCAGGAGATGGGTGTTCTCCCCCTGCTTCCCACCCTGCTGGCCCCACAGTCCTCCTGCACCCCCAAAGTAGCCAACATCATAGCTGAGGTGGCCAAAAATGGTGAGGCTCCCCCCGCTTGGTTTCACCTCATCTCATATTCCCCAGGAAACATCATTCTCCTCACTTTTGGTTCTGCCAACTTGTCAGTATACCATTTTAAAAAACGTGTTATTATATTCTCAGTTTTGTGTGTGTCATACAGTGGCGGTTTAGCATACATTTGTATTTCTCATTTACAGTGCCTTGCAAAAGTATTCAGCCCCCTTGGCGTTTTTCCTATTTTGTTGCATTACAACCTGTAATTTAAATTGATTTTTATTTGGATTTCATGTAATGGACATACACAAAATAGTCCAAATTGGTGAAGTGAAATGAAAAAAATAACTTGTTTCAGACAATGCTAAAAAATTAATAACGGAAAAGTTGTGCATGCATATGTATTCACCCCCTTTGCTATGAAGCCCCTAAATAAGATCTGATGCAACCAATTACCTTCCAAAGTCACATAATTAGTTAAATAAAGTCCACCTGTGTGCAATCTAAGTGTCACATGATCTGTCACATGATCTCAGTATATATACACCTGTTCTGAAAGGCCCCAGAATCTGCAACACCTCTAAGCAAGGGGCACCACCAAGCAAGCGGCACCATGAAGACCAAGGAGCTCTCCAAACAGGACAGGGACAAAGTTGTGGAGAAGTACAGATCAGGGTTGGGTTATAAAAAAATATCCTAAACTTTGAACATCCCACGGAGCACCATTTTAAATCCATTATTAAAAAATGGAAAGAATATGGCACCACAACAAACCTGCCAAGAGAGGGCCGCCCACCAAAACTCACGGACCAGGCAAGGAGGTAATTAATCAAAGAGACCAAAGATAACCCTGAAGGAGCTGCAAAGCTCCACAGCGGAGATTGGAGTATCTGTCCATAGGACCACTTTAAGCCGTACATGCCACAGAGCTGGGCTTTACGGAAGAGTGGCCAGTAAAAAGCCATTGCTTAAAGAAAAAAATAAGCAAACACGTTTGATGTTCGCCAAAAGGCATGTGGGAGACTCCCCAAACATATGGAAGAAGGTACTCTGGTCAGATGAGACTAAAATTGAGCTTTTTGGCCATCAAGGAAAACGCTATGTCTGGCGCAAACCCAACACCTCTCATCACCCCGAGAACACCATTCCCACAGTGAAGCATGGTGGTGGCAGCATCATGCTGTGGGGATGTTTTTCATCGGCAGGGACTGGGAAACTGGTCAGAATTGAAGGAATGATGGATGGCGCTAAATACAGGGAAATTCTTGAGGGAAACCTGTTTCAGTCTTCCAGAGATTTGAGGCTGGGACGGAGGTTCACCTTCCAGCAGGACAATGACCCTAAGCATACTGCTAAAGCAACACTCGTGGTTTAAGGGGAAACATTAAAAATGTATTGGAATGGCCTAGTCAAAGCCCAGACCTCAATCCAATTGAGAATCTGTGGTATGACTTACAGATTGCTGTACACCAGTGGAACCCATCCAACTTGAAGGAGCTGGAGCAGTTTTGCCTTGAAGAATTGGCATAAATCCCAGTGGCTAGATGTGCCAAGCTTATAGAGACATACTTCAAGAGACTTGCAGCTGTAATTGCTGCAAAAGGTCGCTCTACAAAGTATTGACTTTGGTGAGGGTGGGGTGGGGGGTGAATAGTTATGCACGCTCAAGTTTTCTGTTTTTTTTTGTTTCACAAGAAAATATATTTTGCATCTTCAAAGTGGTAGGCATGTTGTGTAAATCAAATGATTCAAAAAAAAATAAAAAATCTCTTTTAATTCCAGGTTGTAAGGCAACAAAATTGGAAAAATGTCAAGGGGGGTGAATACTTTCGAAAGCCACTATAGTTAGCATTATCTTAATTTAATGAATTTAATGGGATTGTGATTTATCTATTTGTGGGCTGATGGTCAAGATTATGGGTGATAGTCTATAGATTTGTGCTGTGTAGCCCAGATTGTGGCCTAGTCCCTGTACTCATTTGTTTGTCCACCCCACTCCCCATAAGCAATTCTGCCTTAACCCATTCCGACGGCAACAGATGGCTTCAGTCTCTCTAACAGAAGGCACCATAGGAGACCTGTCTGTTGGTGTTGCCATCCATCATGCTTTCCTAGACCGTAGTCATTTTCACACAACGTCAGCACAGTGAATCAAGATGTATTTACTCCATGCCATACTGTAGCTTGACCAAAGGAAAATGCACAGCAGTGAGTGGCTCGATTGAGATTCAGGAACTCATCAGATCAAGGTGAGATTAGAGTTTAGATTGATTCGTTCTATCAACATAAGGCATTCATAACGCTCCCAGAAGCACTTCATTAATAGACATGAAATAACAGCTATATAGTGCCCTATTAAAGCTTTATACCAAGGATGAGATTGGGCATTCAAATACGTTGATGGCTTCTTGACTTCTCTCCAATAGTAGAGAAGTCACACATTTTCTTGGCCACATTTTGGACTCAAGCAGTCTTCCATTGGCAACGTGGCAAATTACTTTATGCGCGGCCTCTCAACCTGCATACTGCAGTTACAGTAAAAACTGTGCCATACTTACTTAGTGCTTTTAGAGTAATTATATGGGTTTCAGGGGAGGCAGGCGCAGAGTTGAAGGGAAGTGACAGAGTAGGGGGAAGAAAAGTCTAAGATAATTAATGGTATTTTAGCAACGGCTAATGATCACTGCCTGCTGACATACCAGCCTGAGCCTTGGCACCAACCCACTGGCATTTTATCTGTCAGAGGCCTGGAAATGTCTATGCCCAGTCCACAGTGGAAGACTTACTGTGTCAAAGCTACTGGACTAAAATAACCTTTTTCTTGCATACCTGAGTAAAATGAATTTGGAAGTTGAGTGTTTAAGCACTTTCATTTGAAACCTAGTCAGTATTATATGAAGGTTTTCTGTATTTGGCTGAACTTGAGGGCTGCTTTAAATGTATTTCCAACAAAGATCCAGAGTTGGGTTTTATATACATTCATATAAAAATTGTAAAAAATGTGGATGCACTTAAAAATAATTGAGTCTTCCATTGACTAATCAATTGGAATTTTGGCACACACAGTATATTTCCGAGCAGATTGGAGGTTGTAGTGAAATCCATTTCAATTCCAGTCAAACCAGCAAATAAACTGAAACACATTCTCTGAATGACAAACTCCTCATAGAAAATAACTGGTCCACTTTTCAGTCAGTTTCAACTTGATTTTACATTTCTTCTCCACAATCGAGACAGAATGGACCATGAAGATAGGTGGTGCCGTGCTGAGCGGTAGGAGTAGGGTGAAGTTTCCCCTAGACAATGATCATGGGTCATTTTTGAATTTCCCCCACTAATGGTTAAGATTAGGATTGGGGGAGGGGAAGCTTATCCAGGTCTGTACGGTTGGGAAACTTCACCCTGGAGCCTAATTGTTCATCCTGACTGTGCTTTCTCTCCCCTCCAGAGTTCATGCGGAGCCCCTGTGTGGAGGCGGGCCTCATCCCTCCCCTGGTGCAGCTGCTCCACTCCAAGGACCAGGAGGTGCTGCTGCAGACAGGCCGCGCCCTGGGCAACATCTGCTACGACAGCCGTAAGTACATCCTGCCATAGGTCTCCCTGTCATAGGTTTCCCTTGCATGTTTCTCATAGGCTTCTCTTACACATTTCGTATAAGTTTCCCTTAAACATTTGTCATAGGCCGGTTGGAAAAGGACCCGGAATCGGTATGTCTATGGGTTCGCCCATAATTATTCTTTATTTTTGATGGGAAGGGGAGGTCAACTTTATAAGGAAGGGGGCGGCATCTTGCCTAGGTGTAATTATAGGGGAAGTACTGAAGTGCCTTTTCCTTTCAACTGGCCCTCTCCTCCCTCCTCTCCCCTCCCCCCCTCCCCTCCCAGAGGTGCTGAATTGCATCATGACGGGGAACCAGGTGTCGGCGGATTCTAAACTGGCTGTTAGCATTATCTGCTCTTTTTGATGACATTGATCTGCTGAAAAGTCTTAGTTCATCATAATATAATGGGATATAGCCTGTTTCTCATCTGAATATATTGGAGGTGGGGAATACTCTGGCCGTAAATAGGAATACTCTGGCCGTAAATTGGAATACTGAGTGAGGTGACTACCAGCATGACATTATATTGTCTGTGCTTCTACCCGATTTATCAATATGAAATCCATATTTTTTTCATCTGTGGACTAGCAAGAGGCTTCGCTAAGCAGCTCTCAGATGACACTATTGTCCCGTGTGGCTCAGTTGGTAGAGCACGGCGCTTGCAACGCCAGGGTTGTGGGTACGATTCCCACGGGGGGCCAGTGCAGCGACAAGTACGAAAGTCAGTCTAGCCCTGAGCTCCTGAGAGCCGCATTTCTTTCCCCAGACAGACACCCTCACAGACCTTCTACGTCTGTCACACAAAGATAAAACTGCTTACAATCACTTCCCCCAATGCCTCTAGAATAAAGATTTTAGGGGATGTAATCAAGAGTTGTCGTGAATACATCTGAGGAGAATTCTATTGTTGGGTTTTGCTGAGTGGTTAGTGGTCTGTCTGTGTGTTGCGTTGAGGCCATAATGGCAGCTGTTGTTTCTGGTGCATTGTATGAGTGTGGGGGGAGCTGGTGAAGCCTTTTTGGCATAGTGGCAGAAATGTATATGTGTGTGTGTCTGTCTGTCTCAGTTGGAGCTGCAGCTGTTTTCAACACTTAATAGGGGCACCACTGAAGAAATCAGTTTAGAAGGACTCTAGCTGTCCGGTTACTCCGGTTCTGGCCCTTTCAAAATGTAATCAACCCAACAACAAGCCTACCACTTCAACTGTCAATTGCATTCATACAACTTCCAGACCTAGCAGCAGAAAAACAGTGCCAGCATTTTGTCCATTGTACATAAACGCCATCCAGATTCCAGCCAATTTGTTTAGTCCCTCTCCCTTGCTTTCTCTCTCTCTCTCTCGCTCTCACTCTCGCTCTCTTTCTCTATCCCTCTCCTGCACTCTCGCTCTCACACACTTGCACTCCTTCTTCCTTTCTCTGTGTCTTCCTCTGTCGCTCCCCTCCTTTCTCTTGCTGTCCATGGTTGTGTTGTTAAGGAAGGGGGCAGGTGTGCCAGCCAGGCTGAGGTTGGATGTGGGGGTCATGGCTGGCTGGTATCAGGAGACTAGTGGAGAACCAGTCTGTGCATGTCCAGGAACAGGATGACTGATCATTTAACACTTCCTCTGCCAGCAAGGCAGCTACGCTCCAGACACCCCATTCTGTCTGCCACCGCCATGCACACATAACACTGTATAATGTGTTATGTTTCTGTGTTAAAACAGCTAGTACAGACAATGATATACTGACAAGGCCCATAACGCTTCCTCTGCTAGCTACGCTCCAGACATCCCCATTTAGTCTGCCATCGTCAAGCACACACTGTATGTATCGATATGTTCCCACAACGCATATACAGACGTTTTGTTGTCCAGCATTGGCGTACTGTCACATGAAGTGGCTTGTAACTTTCACAAACGGAAAATACTCTTCCATTCTTTGTTAATTGGAGAATTAGTGTCTGTACCCACTTTGACAAGGACGTCATCCCCACCTCCGAGTTCTAGGTGATGATGGCTAAGAAAAGTAATTCATTCCTGGTCTGTAGTCTGGGGAGATTCAACCATAATATACACATTAGTGTACACTGAGTATAGCAAACATTAGGAACCCCCTTTTTCCCTCAGAACAGCCTCAATTCGTCGGGGCATGGACTCTACAAGGTGTCGAAAGCGTTTCACGGGGATGCTGGCCCATGTTGACTCCAATGCTTCCCACAGTTGTGTCAAGTTGGCCTGATGTCCTTTGGGTGGTGGACCATTGTTGATACACACAGGAAACTGTTGAGCATGAAAAACCCAGCAGCGTTGCAGTTCTTGACACAAACTGGTGTGCCTGGCACCTACTACCATACCCCGCTCAAAGGCACTTAAATCTTTTGTCTTGCCTATTCACCCTCTGAATGGCACACATACACAATCCATCTCTCAATTGTCTCAAGGCTTAAAAATCCTTCTTTAACCGGTCTCCTCCCCTTCATCTACACTGATTTGAAGTGGATTTAACAAGTGACATCAATAAGGGATCATAGCTTTCACCTGGATTCACCTGGCCGGTCTGTCATGGAAAGAGCAGATGTTCTTAATGTTTTGTATACTCAGTGTATCTATCATGAGAGCACATGGCCTCCCTACGGCTATGTTCTATCGTGCTACATTATCTCTTGGCACATCAAGCACTCCTTGTCTACGTGATGTCTGCAGGCAAAGGTGATGTCCTTAAAGTTTAAACCTCAGGAGCACCAACTAATGTCCATTTTAGTTGACCACAATTGACATTGTTGACCACATTTCTAACACTGGTGAGGTTGAGTCCTATTTCATTTAATGTTCTATAAATATGACCGGCTAATTCTATGCATTTTTTAAAGATTGTATTTGCATGGCTGTAGTCGATTTGGTATGTTCGCGCAGAGCAGTATCCTACAAACGTACTGTGATCTGTAGTAATATGGTGCAAATTAAGGCTACTCAATGAGGCGTCTGCTAAAAACGATTTCATAAAAACAGACTAGTCACTCGGTATGACATAACTTCAACTCCCATGGTCCCTAGGCTGTCTGGTTTTCAGGTCTTTTATTTTCACAAAGAGAACAGCCGTTTTCTCTCCTCAATCCAGCTGGGTTTCAGCCTCTCCACCTCCATACGTTTGCTGTTCACTCATGCTCATTTGCATAACATGACTCAACCACATTCCGTTTAGCAGGACTCTAGTATGGTTGTCGCTACCACTAATAACCATACTGTGTGTGAGCTTGACTGTGATTCTGACAAGTGACAAACGATTGTCCACCAATTAGGGCTGTATTTATTATTGAGTTAATCGGAAGATTTGCTGTGATTAATCGTGACTCATTGCAAATTCAGAATTTAATCAAATTAAGCTGTAATTTAAGATTTTTTTTATACAAAAATCATTATAAGAATATTGATGTGTCAGTTTTGTCCAAAGTAATGGTAAGCAAAATCAGGCAAATTTATAAAGCACACTTTCTTTAACCTCAATATCAACTTGTTTTGACGTCGCATTGTTGTTTTTAGCTGTATAGATCATGTATTACATTTTTTTCAGTGTGTTTTGAATGATTTCAGACTACGATTAATCGCAAAAGAAAAGAGTGCACTAAAATTACAAACTGGAGTTACACGATTAACTCTGACAGACCTACTGGGATGGGCATGACGAAACACACTATGGAATGACTCCCAGTTCTGTATGAAGGGTATGAGCTTCGGTAATGATTTAATGCTAGTTAGTCTTTTTTTTGTTTTGCCTCTCCTTTTTCATGTTATGATTAATCATTATTATTCTTTATGGTTATATTTAAATAGCATTTATTATTGATTTATGTGATTTTGTGTTTTTTTTACTGCTTGCTTAACTTTCTCTCCCTTTATTGATTTGTTTTCCAGGTTGGTTGTTGTGATTTTTCTTCTTTGTTGATGTCCCCCTGACCTCTTTGTTTTGCAGATGAGGGCAGGAGTGCAGTTGACCTGGCGGGAGGGGCTCAGATAGTAGCTGGACACATAAAGTCACTTTCCCAAAATACTGACCCGGACAATGGAAAGCTCTTGACTGTCTTTTGTGGCATGCTGATGAACTATAGCAATGATAATGGTAATGGCCAACTCCCCCCGGATAAGCTACATTAACCAATCTAAACAGAGTAAACTTTTTAAATAATTAATCTAACGATAAAATGAGATGTTTTATTGTCACATACACCGGATAGGTGCAGTGAAATGTGTTGTTTTACAGGGTCTGCCATAGTAGTACGGCACCCCTGGAGCAAATCAGGGTTAAGTGCCTTGCTCAAGGGCACGCCGGCAGATTTTCACCTTGTCGGCTCGGGTATTCGAACCAGCGACCTTTCGGTTACTGGCCCAACGCTCTAACCGCTAGGCTACCTGCCACCCTACTTTGGCAGTGTGTCTGTGGCAGTACTAAACTTAATGTTGACACCTTTTATCCAGTCTTAAAGTGATAGTTTGTTTTGTCTGATATTTTCAGACCTCAAATGTAATCTAATGGCGAGACGAGTCCACGTCCCAGGCCATCTATTGTGCTTGTTTATTTGGATCGCCATTAGCTTTTGTAGCTGCTATATGCATCAAATCCAAATGAATTGGAAAGATAGGCACCGTCTAATTTAAAACTATTAGACGGTGCCTATTATGTCCATATAGCTGAATTTACACATAACTGGGTCTTCTTAATAGATGGTGTGGGGGCATGGACTCGTTAGACCGCTTTTGAGGTTTAAAAATGTCTTGACGAATTTAGATTTAGAATTTTCAGCCAATGTTCAAGTTTATATTACTCAGCCTTTACTCTCCATGGTAACAGGAGGTGGTGGTTAAAGAGGATTGTACAATATCTGTCCCTTGGAGAGTGGTCTGTCTGATTGAAGTCCACTTCCATTGCTTTCTATTGTATCTTGCTTGAGGCCTTGGTAATTTTCCTCTTAAAGCAGTGACTGCTTGTCTTGTCCTTGTAATTGGTGGTGGTAGGTAGGTGGTGGTGGTATCCCTACAGCTTATATTGCAGCCATTTCTCTCTACCCCTTTACACAGCACTCTCTTGTTTGTAGTTAGATTGTCTATTCTCCCACAACCCTCCTTGCAAAGCCTCTATGGTCTATCCAGGTGCGAGATCCGGAGTAATCAATATTGATCACTTCTGCTGTCAACTTTCCAGCACCCTTTTCCAGTTTCAATAGGCTGCGTTTCAAATGAAGCCCTATTCCCTACATAGTGCACTACTTTAGACCAGAGAATACGGTGCCATTTGGGAGCCAGGTGTAGACTCACAGTAAAATATGCATCTTTCATTCAAATGAACACGTTGTTTAGAACCATTTAACTGTGCTAGCTAACTAGTCTTGTCATAATGATGCAATAATTTTGCCACTCGGGATTAGCAGCGACTCATTTTCTCTTTGCAAGTCACTTTACTGCACAACTCTTAACACTGCCTTTTTAAAGGTACTCTCAGCAATATGACATGATCATAAACAGAGGGGTGACTTCCTGCCTACAGACATAAACAACAAATCAAATCTACCAACACAGCCACTATTGACTCTTCCCAATGTGCGTCCTCCCTTGAAGCATGCCCACATTGGGAAGAGACAATAGTGTCAGTCTTGCCAGATTTGAAATTGGTTGAGGTCTGTAAGCAGGAAGTCGCCCCGCTGGGTATGATGATGTCATATTGCTGAGTCTACATGTAAAACATTTACAGTAGCTGCTGTGGAACCCTCTCCCTCTTCCAAATTGGACTATAGAAAGTTGAGTTTTAGTCTTGGTTGGACTGTTTGTTCCCCAGGAGTGTATTCACTAGGAACCTCATCTCTCGTGGACAGATTCTGCTCTTAAACCGAAGAATAAGATTCTGAACGTAAACCGAAGAATCTGTCGCGGCGGTATAGAATGCGTAGGATAATGAGCAGCAGTTGTTCCGGTGTTTGGACCCAGAATTAAGTCACACAGCTGATCAAATTACGCATGACTTTAGTTCTGGGTTAACCGAGATTACTAGGAACCAAACGGAAGTAAATGGGCCGAAACAGTGAGAGTTCTAGCTGAATTTGTCCCATAAGAAACTCTTGATTCATTTGTTAATTGTTCTGTTGCAAAACAATTTTGCTACGGTTTGCATGAATGAAAACACCCCAGGCTGGTTAGTGGTTTAGAGAGGGTGATGCTCGCTCGTTTATGCCCCTTTCGTCTATGTTCCCACCCTGAGATTCCACCATGTACTGCTCCTCTCTGAATAATGTCAATTATTAATGAATGGGCCAAGTTCTATAACTTTCTTTCTCCTCCGTGGGCAAGATGCAGAACAATAATTACTTTTCGGTCTATCGCTTCTCCCGTACGATCCCTGACCATTCCGAGGTCACTCCCCAACTCTTGTCCACCCTGTCGAAAATAGACTGAGGAAAAATAAATGTGATCAAAAACGTGGTGTTCAGGGGAGGCACATGCAAGTCAGCGACAACTCAGGCTCTCAATGTCACTTTTTTCTCCCTCCCTCCCTCCCTCCCTCCTTTGCCTTGTTATTTTCCCCCAATCAAACATGGAGCTAAGTGGATTTTCTCTGTAACCCAATGATCTGCGATCAGATCATCAGACATTAAACAGTGCTGTGATTACACAGAAATATAATTACTAGAACGGACATCCCCATTCGAGTCAATGTTCCACGATGTGTGGAATTCTGTTTCCATGCTAATTACGCTGTCCTCTGCTTGAAGCGGTGCTACTTCCGGTGACACCAACATTTAGCCTCAGTTGCCAAGCACCGCTATCACGGCACTAAATCAAACCATTTCACAGAGCTCAGCAAAGCCTGCATCGACTCAAGTCAAATCACATTCAAATATCTCACACAGACATGGTTTGACTCATTTTAATCAATTACGTTTGGTTGTGGCCTCCAATCTGTTTAGCTTTGAATAAGGCCATTTTATTGCCAGTCCATGAAAAGGATGTTTGAGAAAACAGGACAAACTTCACTTCATGTAGCCTCTATAAAGTTACCGGTAACTTAATAACAAGTAGCGTGTAACATAACTGCCTAGTGCAATTACATACAGCTCAACACTGTTTATAAATGTAACACTCCTACCCAATTTACGATTGAATTATTTAGCACGATGTTAGGTGTGAAATGTAGCCTAGAGTTGATGTTTCCAGGCCCTGTCATCGGCTACAATAAAACAAAGGCTGTCACAAATGTCTCCACTCAAAAGGCTGAAAAAGTTGAAGAGATGGTTGAAAATAATGCATACAATTACAGCATGCTCTACACGTCCTTGGAACTGTAAAGAGAGGAGAGAGACAGTCTTGTCCTCTATACACTAGGATACGGAATCTAACGCGTCAGAGTAATGGAGTTGGTGTACTCTGTGCACTACAGTGAGGGCCGGAGCATTTTGCAATTACACAATGCAAATTAGTTTGTGTGGCCGCCATCGGCCCACTCCCTTCAGCTGGCTGTTTGTAAACTGTCAACGCAGCTAATATAACCTTCATTAACATTGATTGAAGCTCTGCACGTCCACTGGTTTTTACAGCGTCTGTGCAAATTGAAGTAATTAGTTCTAAAAGATTCCCTAACAAATGGAAATCAAGATTTTTGTGTAAATGTACATTTGGGATATGATAACTTTGTGACCCAAGTTGGTTTATGTTTCTGGAATTCACTCGCCTCCGGTAGGCCTTTGCTTGTGTCGAGGCCTAATGTGGATTATGGTTAGGATCTAATATTTTGAACGAATAACAATTCTGGCGGATGACAATTGATGGTGGTTGTTTTAATAATTACCAGCAAAAAATGTCCGCTTGTATTTCAGAGAGAACCCTTATTAATTCACTAATATAACTATTTCTCAATTGGTTACTTCCTTTTCTCACTCACTTTCCTTCCTTCCTTCCTTCCTTCCTTCCTTCCTTCTAGCCTTTTATCCTTCTTCCTTCCTTCCCACTCTCTTCTTTTGTTTTAAACGTGCTTGTTCATTTTTGTCATTTTTCCTTTCCTTTTTCTTCCTGTACCCTCCTTCCTCTCTCTCCACCCCTCCTTCCTCTCTCTCCACCCCTCCTTCCCCTCTCCACCCATTTTGTCAGTATTGATAGTCTCTTAAAGCCAACTTAATCAACTCTTTCTCCTATCTTTCCTCTCTAGGCTCTTCTAGCTGGTTTTCCAGAGCTCACTACAACCAGGGAAATACATCTGCACTCTGATATACTGTATATGACATAGATCATGCTAAAAAATATACTGTATAGCTAGTCTACATTTAGCAAATGGTTCAACTGTGCAAATTTGTTTCCTTGTTTGCATGAACTAATTTCCCTTTTTGAAAATCCTCTTGAGACTTAATTCTAAGACATATGGCTTTATACCTTCATTAGCTTTTTACACTTTTAATTATATTATTGACTAGTGTGTGTGTGTGTGTGTTGTGGCAGAGCAAAGCTGGCAGACATACATTTTCATAGCCCAATAATGTCTCTCTCTACTTTTAGTTTTAGGTCTGAGACAATAGTGCCTTCATAAATTACACACACACACACACACACACACACACACACACACACACACATCAGGGTGTTTCTGCTTGTTTAGTTAATTTGCCTAATTCGCAGAAACACTGCCCACCCCGATCTTCCTGTCCTTATTGTAATTCAACCTCCCAAACGCTAGATGGCAGTGCTCTTACCTATCCTCTGATATCTCTGTGTCCTCTCCAGACTCCTTGCAGGCCCAGCTGATCAACATGGGGGTGATCCCCAACCTGGTGAAGCTGCTTGGGCTCCACTCAGACAACACGGCCCTCACAGAGATGTGCCTCATCGCGTTCGGAAACCTGGCTGAGCTCGGTGGGTAGTGGGACGTCTTAGAGCTGAGCAGAGAGGTCACTATGTATTGTGGGTATATACAGTGAGGGGAAAAAAGTATTTGATCCCCTGCTGATTTTGTAAATTTGCCCACTGACAAAGAAATGATCAGTCTATAATTTTAATGGTAGGTTTATTTGAACAGTGAGAGACAGAATAACAACAAAATAATCCAGAAAAACGCATGTCAAAAATGTTATAAATTGATTTGCATTTTTAATGAGGGAAATAAGTATTTGACCCATCTGCAAAACATGACTTAGTACTTGGTGGCAAAACCCTTGTTGGCAATCACAGAGGTCAGACGTTTCTTGTAGTTGGCCACCAGGATTGCACACATCTCAGGAGGGATTTTGTTCCACTCCTCTTTGCAGATCTTCTCCAAGTCATTAAGGTTTCGAGGCTGATGTTTGGCAACTCGAACCTTCAGCTCCCTCCACAGATTTTCTATGGGATTAAGGTCTGGAGACTGGCTAGGCCACTCCAGGACCTTAATGTGCTTCTTCTTGAGCCACTCCTTTGTTGCCTTGGCCGTGTGTTTTGGGTCATTGTCATGCTGGAATACCCATCCACGACCCATTTTCAATGCCCTAGCTGAGGGAAGGAGGTTCTCACCCAAGATTTGACGGTACATGGCCCCGTCCATCGTCCCTTTGATGCGGTGAAGTTGTCCTGTCCCCTTAGCAGAAAAACACCCCCAAAGCATAATGTTTCCACCTCCATGTTTGACGGTGGGGATGGTGTTCTTGGGGTCATAGGCAGCATTCCTCCTCCTCCAAACACGGCGAGTTGAGTTGATGCCAAAGAGCTCGATTTTGGTTTCATCTGACCACAACACTTTCACTCAGTTCTCCTCTGAATCATTCAGATGTTCATTGGCAAATTTCAGACGGCCCTGTATGTGCTTTCTTGAGAAGGGGGGCTGCAGGATTTTAGTCCTTCACGGCGTAGTGTGTTACCAATTGTTTTCTTGGTGACTATGTTCCCAGCTGCCTTGAGATCATTGACAAGATCCTCCCGTGTAGTTCTGGGCTGATTCCTCACCGTTCTCATGATCATTGCAACTCCACAAGGTGAGATCTTGCATGGAGCCCCAGGCCAAGGGAGATTGACAGTTATTTTGTGTTTCTTCCATTTGTGAATAATCACACCAACTGTTGTCACCTTCTCACCAAGCTGCTTGGCGATGGTCTTGTAGCCCATTCCAGCCTTGTGTAGGTCTACAATCTTGTCCCTGACATCCTTGGAGAGCTCTTTGGTCTTGGCCATGGTGGAGAGTTTGGAATCTGATTGATTGCTTCTGTGGACAGGTGTCTTTTATACTGAGATTAGGAGCACTCCCTTTAAGAGTGTGCTCCTAATCTCAGCTCGTTACCTGTATAAAAGACACCTGGGAGCCAGAAATCTTTCTGATTGAGAGGGGGTCAAATACTTATTTCCCTCATTAAATTGCAAATCAATTTATAACATTTTTGACATGCGTTTTTCTGGACTTTTTTGTTGTTATTCTGTCTCTCACTGTTCAAATAAACCTACCATTAAAATTATAGACTGATCATTTCTTTGTCAGTGGGCAAACGTACAAAATCAGCAGGGGATCAAATACTTTTTTCCCTCACTGTACCAAAGGAAAAGTATTATAAATTAATTATACGGTTGAGCAGAATACTGCTGCCACCCCGCCATTCTGGACCTGGTTCAGCTTTTATACCATGCTGTCTGGGGCCTGGGCTTTGAGCATAAAGAAAAGGTCAACCCCAGATAAATGTTGAACCGTGGGCTCTCCTGTCATTCAAATGTTTTGTAAAACCGGGGACAGAAAACTGATTCCGGTGTGTATGTCTTTAGCATGGTGCCAAATCTTCGATCGTTGTCATGCCATATGCTCGGCATGAAAATGAATGAACACAGAGAAGAGTTGGCTGGCGCACAAACAGACTGGACCAGTCATTTCATCTTGATGTAACTTCCCTCTCTGCAGAGTCCAGTAAGGAACAGTTTGCCTCCACGAACATCGCTGAGGAGCTGGTGCGTCTGTTCCAGAGGCAGGCGGAGCACGAGAAGAAGGAACTGATCTTTGAGGTCCTGGCTCCACTCGCTGAGAACGGTAATTCAATACAACTTTATTTATCCCCACAGGGGCAATTAAGACCGGCAAGTCAGGTTACAAATATCAAATATACACTAAATATACAAAGGTATGTGGACACCCCTTCAAATTAGTGTATTCTGCTATTTCAGCCACACCCGTTGCTGACAGGTGTATAAAATCGAGCACACAGCCATGCAATCTCCATAAACAAACATTGGCAGTAGAATGGCCTTACTGAAGAGCTCAGTGACTTTCAACGTGGCACCGTCATAGGATGAAAAAAAAAAAAAAAAACATTGTAAAGTGGTTTTCCCACTGGCTATAAGGTGAATGAACCAATTTGTAACTCTGGATAAGAGCGTCTGCTAAATGACGTAAATGTAAATGTAATGCCACCTTTCCAACATGTCAGTTCGTAAAATGTCTGCCCTGCTAGAGCTGCCCCAGTCAACTATAAGTGCTGTTATTGTGAAGTGGAAACGTCTAGGAGCAACAACGGCTCAGCCGCGAAGTGGTAGGCCACACAAGCTCACAGAACGGGACCGCCGAGTGCTGAAGTGCGTAGCGAGTAAAAATCTTCTGTCCTCGGTTGCAACACTCACTACCGAGTTCCAAACTACCTCTGGAAGCAACGTCAACACAATAACTGTTTGTCAGGAGCTTCATGAAATGGGTTTCCATGGCCGAGCAGCCGCACACAAACCTAAGATCACCATGCACAATGCCAAGCTTCGGCTGGAGTGGATGCCAGGAGAACGCTACCTGCTCCAATGCATAGTGCCAACTGTAAAGTTTGGTGGAGGAGGAATAATGGTCTGGAGCTGTTTTTCATGGTTCAGGCCCCTTAGTTCCAGTGAAGGGAAATCTTAACGCTACAGCATACAATGACATTCTAGACGATTCTGTGCTTCGAACTTGGTGGCAACAGTTTGGGGAAGGCCCTTTCCTGTTTCAGCATGACAATGCCCCCGTGCACAAAGCGAGGTTCATACAGAAATGGTTTGTCGAGATTGGTGTGGAATAACTTGACTGGCCTGCACAGAACCCTGACCTCAATCCCATCGAACACCTGTGGGATGAATTGGTGCGCCCAACATCAGTGCCCAACCTCACTAATGCTCTTGTGGCTGAATGGAAGCAAGTCCCCGCAGCAATGTTCCAACATCTAGTAGAAAGCCTTCCCAGAAGAGTGGAGGTTGTTAAAGCAGCAAAGGGGGGACCAACTCCATATTAATGCTCATGATTTTGGAATGAGATGTTCAACAAGCAGGTGTCCACATACTTTTGGTCATGTAGTGTAGCTGCGAGCAGCAATGAATGTGGTTCACAGGATGACCGAAAGGAAACAAGATCAGTTGGATAACAAAGCAAGTACTCTATCATGTAGGAACTATCTTCCTTTATGTGCAATCAGAGAAAGCATTAACATGTTTATCTCTCAATACCACAACGATGACACAAGTGAATTTTAGTCTAGTGCTGTAGGTTGGTTATCTTTGACTGCAGCAGGTAATCATTCTTAGTCATTACTTAATGTCTTCAGTTTATATACCAATTCTGGGTTCAATTTTACTAATGGTTTTGTTAAGATTTGTGAATTATTTTCAGCTTTAGTGTATTGGTATATTGCAGTCATCTTTGAATGCTGGGACTTTATTTTGTTAAACTCATTAGAGATTAAATTGTTAAGTCTACGTAACAAATATGGTTTGAATTTGATTTGTGGTTTTAGAATTGTTCTCGTAACTGTTTTGTTCTTGACTCGTTTTGCATTCCTTTTGAGCGTGTCCATCGTGTAGTTACTTGTGTTTTAGGGGTACATTTGGTAAGGTTTAGGAATTGTGTTGATTGTAATATGCAAATGTGATTACACTACAGGTGAGTGTGTACACCATTAGTAAAAGGCAATTCTCCAGAATTTCTCAAGCCAATTTGTGCTACTGGTGACATCTATAATGACATCTATAGTTCCACCAACTGGTCTGGTGCAGCCATCTAATGTTGCAGTGACTGTCTAAGGACATAGAATTTAGATGAAGTTTACATACCAAATTCCATGGCCCCATGTCCATCGTTCAGTTCTTATAGTCCTGGTGTGATATGTTGCCATCTAGTGGTGTAGCATGGTCAACTTTAAATACAGCAGCGAATCATTCTCAAATTCATTAGAGGCTAATTCATTGAGTCTATATGCCAAATCTGGAGTCCTCTGACTGATGGTTCATGAGAAGAAAATTATGTATTTTTTGACATTAGCATATGTGTTAATGTGCATCTTTAGGTAAAAAAAAAATCTCTATAACATTAGACTGATTTAAAAGTCTAATTACAAACTCTGGAGTGACATATGGTTCATGATGATTTTGAGCATTAGCGTTACATATGTAAAGAATTAGTTAATATCAATACCAAATTCAGTGTGGTTCATCTTAGGGATGTCCATTATACCGATGACAAGTTTCTAGTTGATAGGCCACTGTGGAGTGGATTTACAGTGGTTTAAATGGACACATAAAATCAGATTTTTCTTAAAGAACTTTTGACCAATCCCTTAAATTCTCTCAAACTAAGTTAAGACATGCACCATTCCAATTTGATGTCATCTGATCCTATGGTTCATGAGATGGCCACGCACGTCTCCAACTCAATCATCAAGTTAGCAGACGACACAACAGTAGTAGGCCTGATTATAAACAACGATGAGACAGCCTACAGGGAGGAGGTGAGGGCCCTGGCGGAGTGGTGCCAGGAAAATAACGTCTCCCTCAACAAAACATAGGAGCTGATCGTGGACTTCAGCAAACAGCAGAGGGAGCACGCCCCTATCCACATCGACAGGGCCGCAGGGGAGAAGGTGAAAATGTCAAGTTCCTCGGTGTACACATCACTGAGAATCTGAAATGGTCCATTCACACAGACGGTGTGTTGAAGAAGGCTCAACAGCGCCTCTTCAACCTCAGGAGGCTGAAGAAATTCGGCTTGGCCCATAAGACCCTCACAAACTTTTACAGATGCACCATTGAGAGCATCCTGTCGGGCTGTATCACCTAATGGTACGGCAACTGCACCGTCCGCAACCGCAGGGATCTCCAGAGGGTGGTGCGCTCTGCCCAACTCATCACCGTAGGCATACTGCCTGCCCTCCAGGACATCTACAGCACCTGGTGTCACAGGAAGGCCAAGAAGATCATCAAGGACCTCAGCCACCCGAGCCAGGGCCTGTTCACCATCCAGAAGGTAAGGTCAGTACAGGTGCATCAAAGCTGGGATCGAGAGACTGAAAAACAGCTTCTATTTCAAGGCCATCAGACTGTTTAATAGCCACCACTAGCTAGCCCCCGCCCAGTACCCTGCCCTGAACTTTAGTCACTGTCACTAGACGGCTACCACCCAGTTACTCTACCATGCACCTTAGAGGCTGCTGCCCTATGAACATAGTCATGGAACACTGGTCATTTTAATAATGTTTACATACGGTTTTACCCACTTCATATGTATATGCTGTATTCTAGTCAAAGCCTATCCTATTTAACTATTGCTGTACATATACTATTCTTCAGATATACTATATATTCTATCCATATACTGTCCATATTGTCCATACATCCCATCACTCTGTGTGTGATACATACATACATACATACATACATACATACAGTGGGGGAAAAAAGTATTTAGTCAGCCACCAATTGTGCAAGTTCTCCCACTTAAAAAGATGAGGCCTGTAATTTTCATCATAGGTACACGTCAACTATGACAGACAAAATGAGAAAAAAAAATTCCAAAATCACATTGTAGGATTTTTAATGAATTTATTTGCAAATTATGGTGGAAAATAAGTATTTGGTCAATAACAAAAGTTTCTCAATACTTTGTTATATACCCTTTGTTGGCAATGACACAGGTCAAATGTTTTCTGTAAGTCTTCACAAGGTTTTCACACACTGTTGCTGGTATTTTGGCCCATTCCTCCATGCAGATCTCCTCTAGAGCAATGATGTTTTGGGGCTGTCGCTGGGCAACACGGACTTTCAACTCCCTCCAAAGATTTTCTATAGGGTTGAGATCTGGAGACTGGCTAGGCCACTCCAGGACCTTGAAATGCTTCTTACGAAGCCACTCCTTCGTTGCCCGGATCATTGTCATGCTGAAAGACCCAGCCACGTTTCATCTTCAATGCCCTTGCTGATGGAAGGTTTTCACTCAAAATCTCACGATACATGGCCCCATTCATTCTTTCCTTTACACGGATCAGTCGTCCTGGTCCAAAAAATATATATACATAATCCTAAAATTCTAAATCAAATAGCTAGCTTAAATAATACATTTTATGACCATCTTAAAACAATTCCATATCTTAGCTTTGTAGATATTGCGATCTAAGCGCTTAGACCTACAGGGATAACCAATTAAATAATTATTACCATCACTATGATTTTTACTGTTAGGCTAAAGGTGGCATCGGCAAAAGTGTGGGCCCTTCGGTTTTCTTGGTCATCTCCTCAACCAAACAGACCACTGCAGGTTCATCACTTGTCAGTGCCAAAAGAGAGACAGGGTGGGGGGGGGGGGGGTTGTGCTGCCAAGTACAGTAGAACATTAAACCTAGCTACACCAGAGCACACAAAGCTAAAAGGCAGCAGAGGATGCAGAAAGCCAGCAACTCAATTAACTTAAAAGCATTAAAATGCCCCAACAAGATACTGGCTAGGCCGAGCCAGATCATGCAGATGGTTATTAGTGATGGGGGGGATCGATACAGTTACATATCGGGATATTATTTCTGACGATATTTTGTATCGTTATGACAATATTGCAAAATTATTATTGCGCTAGTTGTCTGTACCTGCACCAAAACTCCAGTATTTTTCCTTCATAGCTTATTCTCCATCATCTTTTTAAATAGGGAGCCAATTTGTTTTCAGCACTTTTATTTCCATGACTGATCAAAACTTGTTTTCTCATGGCTCTCCCTTGTCAGTCTGCAGCAGACATATGGTGAGCAATCTGTTTG